ACGTCGCATTGCGTGATGTGGTTTCTCTGTTGAGAGGCCCCACTTTCGCGCAGATTCTGCTCTTGGACGCCATCTGCTGTTTGACGTCGACGAATATTGCTTGCATTCCTGCTGCGGGCTGCGCTCAACCCGCGCCCTCGCTGCACCATTGCAGATAGAGCGTGTTTTGAGCGCAGAACACGTTTTCGTACTTTTCTTGCGTTTTGGTGTTGATTTGAGACGAAACTAATATGTTGTTTTTTCTAGTCTCCAAAATAACCCAGTATTAGTTCTTCTCCTATCCCCATATTTTATTTCTAATAAATCAAGAGGCAAAAAAAAAAAAGGAAAAAATATATTCCTTAATAGTAGTGGATGTCATCGCATGGGTGACACGAATAGTTGACATGTTGTCTCGGTCGAGGCCCAAAAATGAGTCGGCGGTTCTCCTGAGAAAACGATTATAAACTCTGGCAAACCGTTCGGAGTAGGAAAGTAAAGGGCAAACCTGGGTGAAGTATTCTGAACAAACTATATCGACAGCGACAGATCGAAACTTGACTGCCTGTTTCAGAGCAGCCTTATTGAGTCTATGCTTTCACGAATCTGAACCGTGTTTTCGGGCTCAAAGTGGGGCAACACCGAATTCAAACGATCAAACATCGTTCAACGGAGGTTGAGACCAGAACCATCTTTTGAGAGTACTGGTGTAATGGCCTTGGTGTATGGCTGTTTGGGTCGAGGCCCAACTGGAAGAGGCGGATATCCGGCACCCAAGTCAAGACCCCGTGCAATCTGATCACATGACGACTATGGAAAGCAAGAATTTGGAGGCCTCCCGTGTGCTCAATAATGAATCTGGAATACTGATGATATACTGCAGCAGCTGACTGTCGATAATTGGGCACAAGACGTTGTGGGGGTCTATAGAAAGCCGAAAAAGTGAGTTGGATTGTTCGCCAGAGTGCATAGATGCGGTCATGACTCAGGGTAGCATTTCGATCGAAGTCACGGTGACCCTGATTCTGACGATTTTCAGGAAATAATTATCTTCTGGCCCGGGAAGCTCGGTAGGCTATCCTGGGAGCGAGCCCGGACCAACTGTATCCTGTTGTCTAGTGCGGGACACGGGGGCCGTCGGATTCCCAGAGGATTTCCGATGCGACCCTCGCAAGTGAACTCCCAATTGGAGCACTGGCGACGAGTTCATGATTCCCAGAGAACATCAGCAGCACCCAAAGACAAACTACACTATCAAGCTGATCGTCCGGCAAACAAGGGACACAAAGAATCAAAAGGATTCTTTACAGTAATCAAGGATAAAGGCACAAAGGCATCGAGGATGTGCAAAATTGCGCAAAAAGCCAAGACCCAAAAGCCTTCAAAAGCATTATCAAAGGAGTTGAAGAAAGCAAAGGATAAGGTGATGACCAGGTTTGAGGTCAAGCGGAGAGCCGAGGACTCAAAGGGAGAATGCGGTGTTGTGAATGCTGTGCCGTATTCAACCATACCAGGTACCTCTCATGTACAGTCTAATTTAACTACAGTTTGGGTGAAGCTGCGTGTTTATATTATTCGACGATATACGGCTGTTCTGTTTAAAATCCTTGACTGCAGTTGATATTATTTTTATCATGTGATTAATGCGTGGTTTTTATGTTCAGCTCGGCATGTGTCAAATGTGGTTCTTCTAATTTATTGAGGCCCGGACATTTGCGGTATCGAGGGGAATAATTACAAAGGTTGGAGACTTTACGAGCTTGCTTTTCGACGAGGTCAGTGTGTCATGAGATGGGATGAACACGACATGGAAGATAAACATTTTCGGTCCTTGCTCTAGGCTATCATCTGAATCAACTTGGAAACATGGATAATTCATCCACGAGGGGTAGCTTAAGATGACATCTCGCATTGAGTATGGATATCTTAAACTCAAACAGGGCGTATTTTCATCAGTATCGATTTCAATCTTACCTTGTACCCGAACTGAGGATGTTTTCATGATCACGAGCTTCAATGTAATATGATGATCATCAGATGAGTTTTTACACAACGTAAAAAGAGCCAATCAATTACCTTTGTCGTTGTCGCCAGAGAAGGGAGTCCTGTCGGACTCTCCGGTCCCTGCCTGATAGACGAACCGTCAACCGAAGTTGAGTGTGCGATGATATTCTACATTTTGCGGTCCAAAAAGCTTTGGAAACCTAAGCGAACATACAATAAGCTTTATATAAACCCGATGTTGCATTGCTTGGATTTTAAAATTTCGCCCTGGTTGCGCCAGCTTTGTTAGAATTAGTGCTGACAGCTTGGTGAACATTTTACAGTGCCTAGCCTCACCAAGTCACCCCTCGGACTATACACTGGGTAGCGGCGCCATTGGGTAGTCCGAGGGGTTCCAGCTACACATTGACTACTAGTCCGAGGGGCTCTGACCGCTGGGTGTACAGTCCGAGAGACGACTTGGGAGACCAGCATAGCTTCACCTTTTTGGCCAGAATCACAGAGTAGTCTCCACCATGATCTGACTCGTCTCTCAGACGAGAGACAGAAGCTTCACTTGTTTGCCAGAATTAAGAGACGTTCAAAACTATAAGAACAACACGACGTTCCACAGAAATTCATCTCTTTTTTTCTTCAGCAGCATCCACCGCTCCAGACAATCTTCAATCTTTCAAAGCTTCCGTCACCTCCCAAGACAGCCTTCTTCAAAGATTCCCAACAAGTCCCCAACCTCACAGCAATCAAAATGCTCTTTGCCAACATTCTCGCCTTCGCTACTGCCGTTACCGCTGCCGCAGTCAGCAAGACGGCCACCAGCCCCGACGGTTATGTCTATGACGTTGTCGATGAGTCTTTATATGTCGCCGATACCATTACCCTTCCCGACGGCAATACAACCACCGTCCTGATTCACCCCTCCCTCAAGTTCAAGCGCGGAGTGGACACTAGCGACAAGCTCGACAAGCGCCTGGGCTGGAGTAGCGGCTCCCCTGATAGATGCGGCGCCTCCAGCTTCATAAATAAGTCCTCTGGTGGCTCCCCCGTCACCGGCGACTGCGAAGCGATCCGCAACCACTACCAGCATGCCAACGGCTACTTTACCGCTGCGTCCTGGGACCTCGGTAGCCATTGGACCCGTCTCGTCATTACCGGTAGCTGCGTTTTCGGCATCAAATCCGGTAATCAGGGTGGAATTCACGTCGGATCTACCGATATTTACGACCTTACCAGGGATGCCATCAATATGTACAGAACTAACTGGAATCCTTCCAGGATCGGTGCTGAGGGCCACATGGGTTGTAACGTCATGATCGGAGGCACTGCTGCCGTTGACTGGGCCATCTTCCATAACTAAGAGACGGTTGGTTTCATTCAGGGGAAGGAGAATGGGGTTCGCGGCGGAAGACCTGTGTTGAGGGTTTCCTGTAAAGCACACGCAATGGATGTTTAGAATAGAAAAGGACATGTCAACTTTAGAGTGTCCAGCTAGATAACAACTTGGTAGATAAATGATATATTCAATTATAGGTCAAGATTTTGTTGGACTTACCTGGCGATGACAATGGAAAAGTCTAGTCGGCATGACAGAAGTAAGTTGCGAACGCCAGTTCATTGGCCATTCGGCGCAGGATTGGACAGGATGAACAGAAATCGGAATTTAAAAAAAATAAAAAATTCCCAAAATGAACTCCCATATGTTTAATTGAATAAATGCTGCGGTTGGGAGCTGTCAATGAACCAGTTGGTATCAGCTTCGGAAACGATCGTATGTTCGGGTTCGTCGCAGGCAGGGATCATCTTGGGTTTCACTGGCTGCAAAGATGCTTCGGTATCGGCCATATAAGGAAGGGGGTGGTGTGACAAGGCCTTGAAGGTAAGGGCTTGGAATAGGGCTTGTATTCAAACCAGTGTAATAATCTGTTATGGCCTCAAACGTCCTTGCCTTCCTACAATCTGAACTGGAAGATAAAGGCTTACTTATACCCGTAGAAGCCCTTCTTGGCTTCTACTGTCTCCTGGGTCCTTCACTCGACCAGAGGCCTCCTTTGAGCTTGGTCATGATTGCTAAGAATGCAGGTTTTCTGACTCAGAGGTCCTACTGCTTCCTTCATGCAGACCCATCCCGTGTCGCTGACCTTCCTGACCAACCATCCTTCAAGATGCAGTGCTTCGGGCACCTGGACGTGCAGGAATCGGCCACCCATGGGAGCCCTACTATATTGGTAGGCTCCTGAGGCTTCTTGGCCTGCTTGTTGTCCTATTTGCTGACCTGGCACACTGTGAGCGATGCAGTCATGGAATGCCCTGTGACAGGTGGATCGGAAGACCAGAACAGTTTTGGTTTGAGCCTTCAGTTGTGCCCTGAGACGGATATTCTCGAAGCCACGACATGACCGCTCGGCCCGCAGAATGTATCACTATTTCATCGTGCGTCCAAAACATCCAATTCCGCGGCGGTCGCGTCCACAATGGCTGATTTTGCGCCCGGCATTGGATCCATTTCGTAGCACCGATGGCCCATCTCTGCTTATTACCCTCGACCATTATAATATCACGAAACTTATCCACCATGTCGATTAGTTTGATTGAATTTTTTATAGGGCTTTGCCGAGAGGGGAGCGGGAAAACAATCGGATGATGTCGGTGGTGGTGGGTTTGTCGAGGGTTGAGTAGGATTTGGCCATATGGGACTATTTGTCTTTTGAGGAGGCTACGTGGGGGGTTCCGAAGAAGAACTGGGACCATTCAGTCAGGAAGGGAGGAGGTTTGGGTGAGGGGACGGAGAATTGTGTCGCCGGTTTGGACTTCTGTTCCCAGGTTTTGATTGCGTTGCCGTTGACGACGCCGTGGATGAGGATGATGCTGAGGGGAATTGTCAGCGAATTGGTGTCCTGCCGAATGGTTTGAGAGGAACTTACTCCATGTTTGGAGTGTCATTGATTGGAGTGACGTGGCTGCAATTCACAGGCAAGCCCAGGAGTAGGTTAAGAAGGAACAGGGAAAAGAACAAAAAAGAAACACCTGCCCCGGAGTTGAAGCAGGTCCTTCAGGATACCGTGCGTCGCGCCAATTTCCTATGAAAACTCAAGTGACTTGGGCAGGGATTGAATTTTAAAGGAAGGCCCCGTCATAAGCCTACCTGTGTGCTGACCACTACACCAGCAGGTGATTTGTTTTTTAATTCCCAATTGTTAATTTCATTGGCGCAGACAAAGGAGATGTAGGAAGGAAACCTGCTTCAGGACGGACACCACGTACCTGCAGCCAGGTGCTGCTGCATTGGTGAAGAGGCTGCCATCTTTTTCTGCCAATAATTGTCGATGTGGTGTGTTTTTTATCTCCAGATGTCGCTTTTTCCTTGCTCCAGCACCACATTGCCTGGTAATTTGCCTGTATAATTGCAATGGGTATCACATCTAAAGTGTCATATTCACGGGAGAATATCCTGCCACTTGAAAGACATATTGCTGAATATTAAAATCGGTGTCATCTCTCTAGGATTGTGACTACCAAGCTATGCGGTAAAAAAAAAACCAAAACATAGAGAGAGGGGTGGGGGAGGGAAAAAAAGGCCACAACAATAAGGGGAAAAAAGGAAAGAAAGCAAAAAAAAAAAAAAAAAAAAAAGGAAAAAAAGGAAAAAAAGGGCAAAGAAAACTTCTCACCCCGGAAAGCGAAAAGAAGAAAAGGCCTCCCCCGACCCTTCCGAACCAAAAAAAGAAAAATAAGGAAACCCTCCAGGAACAACGAGCCCGAAATTACCACCCTTTCCATGCACCAACACTCGACCCGGCGCTGAAAAAAAACCAAAAAAAGGGAAACCGGCACCTTCCAAATACCAGACCGGTGGACCTTGCAAGTGCTGCATGCTTTATTACCCAGGTCAGTAAATCATTAATGGTAATGGGCGATACATCAAAACATACCTTGCTGGTTAATTGCCATCCATAGTATCGTTGTGTGGGACTCTGCTAGCCGTGCACGTCGTGGACAAAAAAATCGGTACTGCAAAACGGGGATTTTTCCCCACCACCAATTGACATCATCCTCAACACCACGCAATAAATACCACAATTGAGCAATAAAATGTAAGAAAAATTGCCACCATCTATTTTCACTAAAATTTGCTAACGTGCGTGATAAGCGAGTGCACCAGATAAGCGAATGCACCACTTTCTACCACCCTACCATAACTATCTTCAATTTCTACACAACCACACTAT